CGAGTCAACACATTCGTGCCGAAGAATGGCTCTCCCACACAAAAATGCTTTATTGGCTTTTATTTATATCTATTATAAAGCTGTAGAGTTAGTTTGAACGCGCTAATCTCTGGAACTACTGGTTCGATTTGAGTACTTCTTTTTGTGTTTGTTAGTCTATTTTGACTGCACGGTTGGTGGAATAACTGTTTGTGTGATCCACAAATTGTTGTTCTGGGTCTGGGTGTGATGTGTATGTGAAATTGTATATTTGTAACAGCACCCACGACACAGGAGAAATTCCTAGTGTGGGGCTACGTTTATTTTAAAACAAAATAATAATAATAATAATATTTTCCGTTGTCCCTCTGTTGCTATTACTAGCAACCATTCCCGGGGGCCCGGTCGGTGAGTTGGCGAGTCTCCGCCTGCCATTTTTACGTGTATTTATTACATTGTTTCGGCAGGTGCCATAGTCCTTCCATAGTTCCCATCATACCAGTCCATAACAACCCACACCCATAGTCTTATCCCTTGTTTCCATTATCCGCAATAGTCCTACACTAACCGGAGACTGTCCTTGGGTGCATTTCCATAGTGCATACAGGGATAGTCGCCGGTTAGTGTCCCATTTCATTTAGATTAAAGTTGTCTAAAGGGCCTCTGCGCAGTTGGCTCCGGCCCCTCGTACGCCTTCCAAATGACCGGGACCCTGTGGTCCCGTTATTGGTAAAGACATACAAATAATAATATTGATCATATGTAAATACAAATATATATCGAGGAAGGTTATATAAAAAAAAAACTTGATAATCCGGCACCATCAAACCATGGATCCAGTTTTCAACATGTTTTCTGTCCGTCTGACGACCGAAAATGATGTCGATGTCATAACCAAATAGCCTCTAATTCCATTCAATATAAATACCATTTTTATATGAATGACTGAGTCTAATTGGATAATTCATTCTTGATTAAATTTTCATTAATATTGATTAATCGTTTTTCATTCATTTCATAAAACCTTTTGGAAGGGTTCGAAATAATAATAGAGAAGGTTCACCGATTTTATTTTTAATAATGTACTTACATAGCGCCTCTTTACTAGAAAACAGAACTAACTCTTAAAAGAAAGTATTACAAAAATGAACCTTATTATTAAAACATAATTTTCAGATTCAAATACCTCCTTTTTTAGTTAGACCTCTTTTCGATTTAGCACAGTTGTACTGAGCAGGTGTTTTTAAGTTAGCTTAGGGCAAAACTTCACGCCTTCAATTAACCAATCAATTAATATTATGTCCATCAAAATGTGCATTCACTTCACGAATATTCATTTTGACAGCTCACACCGCTCTCGAGCTCTTAATAACTTTCCTCTAGTTGAAATGTATCAAATTATTTAGTTTTTTTATATGATGATGATGTGATTCTAAGTATATTGAAGTAGGTTTGGGAAAAAGTCACTTCGCATTTCCACCTTCCAATTCCATCATCATCAAATTAGCTTGATGGTCAACTAAGATCAACGACATATTGTATAGGTACTAGCTACTCTCGCGCGGTTTCACCCGTTGCTGCATTAATTGACCGTAGCGTGTGGTTTTATAGCCTATAGCACTCAGGAACATTGTAGCTATCTATCAGTGAAAGAATTTTGGCAATCGACCAGCGGTTCCAAAGATTACCCCCTACATACAAACTTACAAATTTTACCTCTTTATAATGTTAGTATAGAAGTATAGACTAGCTATCCTCGCGCGGTTTCACCCGCTGCTCCATTAATTAATCGTAGCGTGTTGTTTTATAGCCTATTAGCACTCAGGAACATTGTAGCTATCTATCAGTGAAAGAATTTTGGCAATCCGACCAGTGGTTCCAAAGATTAACTCCTACATACAAACTTACAAATTTTACCTCTTTATAATATTAGTATATGTACATATCTAATTTACATTACAGTTGCCAAATTTAATGATTATACATTAAACCAAAGAGAGTGTTATTACGATTCTTAAATTTTATTCATAGTTCGTTACAGGTTAACCTAAAAAAAGCGTGTTTAAAATGGATTTCTTGTCCCATCTCCTAAATTTAGCCATCTCTCAAAACCATTTTGTACTTAGTAGGTATCTAAATTTATTAACGCCGAATCTTACGGAAACTGTAATTTTTCCTCAAGTACTATTATTAATATGGATTCAGATCGCCATTCCCTAAACAGTATGTCATCGTTATTGTATCACTACATAGTATAAAACAAAGTCACTTTATATGTTCCTATATACCTGCATGTACGCCCATATCTCTTAAACTGCGCAATAGATTTTGATGTGTTTTTAAACAGATACAGTGATTAAAAGAGGAAGATTTATATAGAAAATACCATCCATATATAAAAAAATTTTGAGAAATTTAGTAAGTTTGCACGCGTGCGAAGGCGGAGCGGGTCACTAATTTAAATACACCAAAAAAAAAAACATAATCTGAAGAATGAATATAACATTGTCGTCCATATAAATAGAAAATGTCGCATTATAGAAAGCAATAAACAGTAATCCGTAATTTATTACTTATTTATAATCATAAATGTCATGTTAAATTAATCATTTGGAATGTTATTTATTAAGTAGATATATTTGTTATTTACACTAATATAATCATGACTTTCTTTTATAAGCGTCGGTTGCTTTTAAATCTATCTCTTTTGATGTTAAAATTCATCAAATTTTAGCATACTTTTATGAATAAATGGAACCTTTATTATATTAAATACTAGCTTTTGTCCGCGACGAATAGTCCGTTCGCGTGGAGTAGTGACTTCCTGCTGATTGTTGGCATAAAAACCATCCTATGTTCTTCCTCGAGTTCCAAATCATATCTGTAAATTTCACAGAAATCGGTTCAGTACTTTAGGCGTGAAGAAAAGACAGACAGAGTTACTTTCGCTATTATAATATTAAGTTTGATTATCTCTGAATCAAAAAATATCTAGTTTTGAAAAATATGCTTAATAAGATGCAAAAAAACACATACTTATCGCGATAGACCCCTTGATAAATCAGATGACATAACTAAAACCAGGATTACGGCTGCAAAACCAAATGATGTAGTGGTTTCTAGTCAGTAAGAGTATGACACTCCTTCATGCCGCACCCGAAGAGGGAGAAATCTTTTAATGAATTTAAGAATCTCATAGATCATATCTTATAGGAAGAGCCAAGCTTCGGCACGAATGGGTCGGCTCGACCGGAGTGATACCACGGCCTCACAGAATACCGACGTCAAACAACCACAGCGTTGTGTTTCGCCGTGTGAGTGAGGTTACCGAAGGTCCAATCCTTCCCCTTCCCCCGATCCCTCCCAATCCCTAAATCTCCAAAAGTCTCATTTCTAAAAGGTCGGCAACGCACTCGTAACTCCTCCGTCGCGGGTGTCCATGGGCGGCGCTGATTACTTACCATCAGGTAAGTAACTAAAAGGTCTGCTCGTTTGCCGACCTATTCCATAACAAAAAATCAAGTTCCCCCAAAAAGCCACTTACACCATAAAGTAGTAACACATTCTTCTGTAACTTTCAGTCCGCAACCCATTCTTACAAATACCAAGTTTAGAAATAGTAACGATCTGCATCGCTAACTCCAAAACACATTAATCTTAATTTTTTATGTTTACCCTCTTATCAGTAGTGGTGATTAGCTGGTTCTGGCGCACGCGCCAGAACCAGCTAATCACCCGGAATCTAAAATCTGAGTGGCACCAAACCTAAAAAAAAAAAAAAAAAAAAAAAAAAAAAGTTTGGTATGCTATCCTAGGTTTTGGCATGCTCTGATCACGTTTCTGCAGTCCATTTTTTGCGTAGGATGCGTGGTTCTGGAGTTATGCAAATCAGAATCAGCTTCTGAACCCTCATTAACGTTCCTTTGTTTGCTTATCGTTACATTACTTAACGTCCCATTGTTCGCCTATCGTTATCATTATCTATTGTGCTTCGAACTCTCTCATTACGGTTGCTTTGGCGTTCTTATCTAAATACTCATTGTTAACTTCATTTTGTCTGATTTTCTATATCATCAATAAAACACAGTCATTCATTTTTATTTCGAAGTTTTATTACTTTTTTTTACAAAATATGAGTGGAACATCTCATCCACTAAATTATCATTGTACAGCGTGTTTCCTGTAAATATGTTCGTAAAACTATGCATTGAACATCCCTGAAACTTAAATAGCTAATACATTAAGCAATATTCGCCACAAACCGAAGTCCAATCATTCTGAATCCTATCAACATTCCAGTCTCACCTCTTACAATTCCTTTTCAAAAACTGAAGATGATATCGCTCAGGTGTTCGTCCATATGAATCAAAATATTGGCCGATACCATTTGTATCGATATATGTATGGCTACCCAGTGTGACCCTGGTTTATCATCCGCATCCAAATTGCATATTATATACGTTGGTACATGTGTGTACATAGGTAGTCTATTAGCAGCATAAACATTATTTTCTAGACTGGAATGAATCTTTTTCATATGTTTTTGTAATTCTAGTGTATCCATGATATTACTGTTATTAGCAGATTATTACAGTACCAATCTATAAAATGGTTGTCATAGGAATGTTCAATGATAGTGATTTGTAAATAAAAAATCGCATTCTTTGTGTAAGTCACAAAACAGGTTCATGCCTGTTGTGATGTGAGATAAGTTTGTTGATTCATAGAGTTTCGTTGTACTTAGGGATGTGTATGTGTGTGTCATGTTTTAGATAAGAATGGACTATATATGATGGAACAATTGCAGTCATGCAATCAGTGTATGGTCGTTTGACCACAGTGAATTGTATACGTCTACCAATACTACGTTTGTGTTACCTACTTCAACGCATCATGGAGGTAAGTGTTTATTCTATTGACAAACTTACTTGTATTTCTGTTGTTGTTTCCTTACGTGTGTATGTGTGTGTGTGTGTCAGATTAATCAAATTGATATTAACGTGATAACTCTGTTGTTGCAGAGATCATTCAGCTTCGCAGACGATAATGTAAATACCTATAAACAGTATTACTACTCGCCTCTCTCTCCCCAACATGAAGAAGAGAGTGACGACATCGTCGTTAATAACACAGACGATGGTGGATAAAGGAAATCGCAACCGATTGATAATTTTTTTGAAGTGGCACCAAAAATAAAATGGAGGAAGCTGCTATCGTCGACTGTGGCACGAGCTGTTAAAGATGGCGTATCATACATCTCTACAAATTCTGACGACGGAGACCAAGCGACGCATCTCATAAAAATTGAAATGTAAGATATGAAGAAACTATCCAAGATTCCAACTAGTGATCACTGGAAGCACGCTACCACGAGGATTAAATATTACGTAAAGAATTATAAGGATAGCATCTACGACAACACAAACGGTCTCGTATACAATATTACAAAGACAATAGCAGAAAGTGAAAAAGTAAAAAAATACTTTTTTAACAATAACACTCACTCATTAGTGGATTAGTCATATTAATACAAATTAAGGATTCTAAAGATGTTTATAAACTAATCATAGATAAACTAATAGTATATGTTAACTAATGATATAAAAGTTTGTGATGAAATGGAGAAGCGTGAACTGTTCGATTCATCGTATGGTGATGCTCGGATACTCTCTTCTCTACTTTAATTATAATTAGTAGTATATTGTATAAGATTAAATAGGGAAGGTTTATAATATAAGTAAATAAAAAATAGTACATTGCATACATTTTGTTTTATTAAATTTTATAATGTTACCTTTAGTTACACACACAAAATGCATTAAGCGTAACACATATATCTAAAACACAATACACATTATAATCCTAACTACTATAGTCTACAGTAACATTTCTATTTTTATCTATTTCAATAATATTATCAAACTCAGCATAAACAATACAGTTAATTGTTTGTATTAGTGAGTATTCAAATCGTACTTCTAATCTTACACTACCATGCTTTATGAGATTCCAATGGGCTGATAAGTTAGCTGATAAATCAGGAGTTAAATCAAATGCTAAAAGACAGTAACCTTTGGCATACTGTTCACGTGAGATTGCATTTCCTTCATTAAGAAAGTGAATACCAGTCCCCGAGAATAGAGTATGATATGCTGATGTAAATATATTATTATTAAAAGATGGTTGCAAAGCTTTGGATGGTATTTGTTGACCATCAATATATAAGCTGAAAGAGTTAATACCATAATTTTCAAAGTTAAATGGATTTTTAGTTAGTGAACCATTAAATGCAGAATTATTCACAAAACCTATAATACATCTTTTGGGTACCTGTCCTAAGAATATATTATCAAGAGTTTTTCCTTGAACACCCGATGGAATTGTTAAAACTTTAACTTCAGCACGAGTAATAGGATATTTAGCAGTGGTAGAAGCTAAAACTTTCTGATGAGCGAGTAATACACTTGGATTAATTCGTGCTCTTCGAACAATAAGAGTTGCGTTCGTAATGCAAACATTAAACTTTACATCATTTGACCCAGCAAATGGGCATTACTCTCTGGTTTATATCCTGTATATAAAAGTGTAGATCGGGTAGCATCTTAGACAACATTGAGAGTTTATATATGTGATTCATGTTTACTTCATTTCCCATCAGAGGAAAGACTTAATAGCCATCGACAATATGATTGCGTTCACATTTGTACGGAATTACCAAACGGCGAGTATTCCAAAAAGGATTGGTTTGGTAAACCGACCTCAAATAATAAAATAAAATTTGACAAATTCGTGAAAAGGTTGGAAATGCCCTTTGTGATTTATGCAGACTTTGAGGCATTTTTGAAGCATTTTTGAATGAATAGTAACGATCCATCTCAGCCTAGTACGATTAATATTCAAAAACATGAAGTGTATAGTTTTGGATATTATATTAAATGTTCATATGATAACAGATTATCAAAATATGAGACGTATAGTGGGTCAAACTGTGCACAAGTGTTTATGAATCGCCTTTGTGAAGATGTGAAAACAATAGTTAAAAAAAATAGTTTCCAAAAATGCCCCGTTCCAATATCAGATGAAGATAAAATTAAAATTTCAAATTCAAACATATGTTATATTTGTGAAACTGAGGTAAATGAAGATCTTTTTTACGATTTTGATTGGCACACTGGCAGTTTTAGGGGTGTTGCACATCAATGCATGTGTGTAGCCGTTTGAGTGATTTGACAATTTCATAAAAAACACGTCAAGTGCTCACGTTGCAAAAAAAAATGGCGCCGCGCCGCGCCAGACGGCCAAGGTCACAAGATGTTTATGTTTTGTGACGTGTCGGTAATTTAAGTCGCCTCAAGTAATGTTTTTATTCAAGCTAATGAATGACTCTTTCAAGTCGTTCAAGTGTTTGTTGACATTAAGTTTCAAATGTTTTTATTTATAGCTGTAAACAATGACTATAGTTGAAAATGATTGTTTGAACTTTAAAAAAGATTATTTTTAAAAGCTAAGCGGTAACATATATATTTATGACTTGTAATGGTGGAAGGATTCTATCTACACACGAATAAATAATAAGAACCTACTTAAACACAATTGATTTGTAATAAAATTAGCCCGAGATAACACCCGCCAAACGCGCGAGAACTAACAACTGACTTTGACAGTATTTTTTTTATTCCGAATGAACCAGTGTTGTACTACCGTCGTATTTTTAGCATGAAGAAATCTAATAAGATTCGAGTAGAAAAGAGAAAAAGAATTAAAACACCGTGTGATAGAAAGAAATAAATATATTATGATGTCGTATCGCACTGGAACGAAAAAAGGGACAAAAGTCACTTGTAGCACTCAACGGTAAAATCAAAAAAGGGACAAAAGTCCCTTTGAGCACTCAAGGGGGTAGTTCTAAGTACAGAACCCCTCGTCATATCCCAATATTCTTACATAACCTCAGTCACTACGATGCTCATTTCATTGTCCATGCATTAAACTTCGATGATGACAAAGTTGAAGTTATTCCACAAAATAAAGAACGATACATATCATTTTCAAAACAGCTAACAATAAATAATCAACCGGTAAGTTTAAGATTCGTAGGTTCATTGAAATTTGTATCGTCTAGTTTAGATCAACTAGCTAAAAATCTTAATGATGATCAGTTTACAGAACTAAAAAGGAACTATCCTAATAATGAAGACTTTTCACGTTTAAGACGGAAAGGTATTTATCCTTATGAATTTATGTGTAATAGTGATTGCTTGAAACATCCATCACTTCCTGATCAACACCAATTTTAAAGTTCACTCACAGATTCAAATATTTCAAATGATGATTATAATCATGCAAAAGATATTTGGTAAAATTTTAAGTGTAGTAGTATGTCTGATTATTCCAATTTATATTTAAAAACTGATGTTTTACTTTTGACTGATCTATTTGAAAACTTTAGAAAGCTTTGTATTAAAACTTATGGATTTAGATCCTGCTCATTACTATACTGCCCCAGGTTTAAGTTGGGATGCAATGTTAAAATTTACCAAAATAGAATTAGAATTGTTAACGGACTATGACAAAATTGCTTTTTTAAAGCTGGTATTAGAGGGGGTGTATCTCAGTGTAGCAATCGTTTTGCTAGAGCAAATAATAAATTCATGGAAGATTATGATAGTGAAAAACCTAATTCATACCTAACCTATTTTGATGCAAATAATTTATACGGTTGGGCAATGTCTCAATCTCTTCCTGTTGGTGGTTTCGAATGGATTGATTCTAATACAGATTACAATGTATCGGATAACTCTGATTTCGGTTATGTTTTAGAAGTTGATTTGGAATATCCTGATGAACTTCATAATTTGCATTCTGACTTTCCGTTGTGTCCTGAAAACATATGTGTGGGTAATACTAAAGAAACTAAATTAGTTCCTAATTTAAATAATAAAAATAAATACATTACAGGAATTTAAAACAATGCATTGAAATGGGGATTAAATTAATTAAAGTACATAGAATTTTAAAATTTAAACAGAGTTCTTGGTTAAAGAAATACATAGACTTAAATACTAATTTAAGAACGTTAGCTACATCAAACTTTGAAAAAGACTTTTTTAAATTAATGAACAATTCTGTCTTCGGTAAGACTATGGAAAATATTGAAAAAAGAGTAAACGTTAAACTACTAACTCACTGGGATAATCGTGGTAAAGTTTTAGGTGCTCAGGATTGGATTGCAAAACCAGAATTCCACAGTTTATCAATGTTTTCAGAAAATTTAGTCGCAATACAATTACGGAAAACAAAATTAATTTATGATAAGCCGATTTATTTAGGATTTTGTATTTTAGATTTATCTAAGACCCTAATGTATGAATTTCATTATAACTGCATGATTAAAAAGTTTCATAATAAAATTAAGTTATTGTACACCGATACCGATAGTTTGATATATCAAATTTTTACAGACAATTTTATGAGGATATAAAACCAGATCTACTTCACTATTTCCATACATCAGATTACCCGGAAAATAATATTTATGGATATCCAAAAATAAATAAAAAAAGTTGGGTTTTTATAAAAAAAGATGAGAATAATGGTAAAGTATTGAAGGAATTTGCAGGGTTGCGATTAAAAATGTATGCATTAGAAATAGAAGATAAATTTATAGCCAAGGCAAAAGGAGTTAACAAAAGTGTTACCAAAAAAATGAATATGGAAAATTACAAATCGTGTTTGTTTAATAAAAATGTATTATATTGTAGTATGCTTCGATTCAAGTCAATCAAACACACTATTTTTACACAAAAAATAAATAAAACATCTTTATCATATAATGATACCAAACGATGTATTATGAACAACAACATTGATATTATAAATTACGTTAAGTGTACCTAATACTTTTTACTTTTATTTCTGTGCGTATATACAAAATTTGTACTAATTGTAAAAGTATGATATTACTATAATGCTATATAATAGTTTATTACATATTTAAAATTTATTGTTTGATTGTAAATAATGTAAAATAATTGTAGTTTTTTGTATGCTTAAATTTGGCGTTGAGGTGATTGTGAAATTCTGATAAGTACTAATTGTGTAAGAAATAGTATACAGATCATTCTATTTTTCACAAATTACATGTTTT